TTTTTTTTTTTCATTTTTTAGGAGAGTTTCGGCGTTATGGGTGATTCGGCGACCGCCATGAGGGACCCGATCTTTTACAGATGGCACGCGTTCGTCGACGACATTTTCCAGGAACATAAGAACACGCTGCCTCAATATACCGTGCAACAGGTAGAGAATACAGTATTCCATCGTTGAAAAATGATGTGCTTCTTACTAAAGGTAATGTATTATTTCTGGTTTTCTTTGTAGTTGGACTTTCCAGGTGTCGAGATAGCGGACATCAAAGTGACGACTAATAATCAACAGAATGTGCTAAACACATTTTGGAGCAAGAGCGACGTAGATTTGTCACGTGGGCTCGACTTCACTCCGCGTGGCGCGGTGCTCGCCAGATTCACTCACTTGAATCACGCTGAATTCACGTACACGATCCTCGTTAATAATCGCAACAACACGCCGCAAAGGGGCACCGTTCGTATTTTTATGGGGCCGAGAGAGGACGAACGCGGTCTGCCGTTCCCCATCAGACAACAGAAGAATTTAATGATCGAAATGGACAAATTCACCGTCATGCGTACGTTGCCATTCCACTTGTATCTGTGGAATTTCATTTCGAAGAACATACCCGTACTTTCCACGTGATTCGAAGGAATACTCATTTTCACAATTTACTTTACACTCGAGGGGAGGATACTTTAATTATGCTCACAATTTCTCGTACGTTCGGTTCACAGTTCGTCCGGGGCAAAATAAAATCGAACGGAGATCAACGGAGTCTTCAGTGACGATACCGTTTGAAAGAACGTTCCGTAATTTAGACGAGAGCAGACCGACAGCGGACAGCAATTTGCAGCAGTTCAACTTCTGTGGATGCGGATGGCCACAGCACATGCTCATACCGAAAGGGAGCAAGGAAGGCTTCCCCATGCATCTTTTCATCATGGTGTCCGATTATCGTGCTGACGCTGTGAGTAATTTAATTCCGAAATATATGAAATATCCAAAGCAGAGTATTCTTTGCAATTCTCGATAAAAATAAATTCAACTTTCTTCTCTTTCAACCCATTTTTCATACATAAATTCGCATAGAAATCCACGGTCTAATTATCGTTTGGCAAATTACTTATTTAGAGCTTTGTTTCACTCGATGGGCTCACTAGCTTTCTCCATTGGATAATAAAAGATAAATTGATCAATCGATGAATTCGTACGTTCGAGACTCAACGATAACTGATGTCACTCGTGATCGAATAAGATTAAAAATGAATTAAACGTTTGCGTTGTAATAATGTGACAGGTCGAACAGGCGGAGCCAACTGGTTGCAAGGATGCTGCGAGTTACTGCGGATTGAGAGACAGAAGGTATCCGGATGCACGTTCCATGGGATATCCATTCGATCGTCAGCCTCGCGCGGGTGTTGAAAATTTAGCTCAATTCCTCACCGGAAACATGGCGGTAACTGAAATTACAGTTCAGTTTTCCGACACGGTTGTACCTAAATCTAGATCTGGCATCGGCAACTCGTTAACTTTTATGTGAACCGTTCGGAATGCCCGCCGATCGACTCCGTAAAATTGGAGATTTTACAGAAACACGATGGTCAAATTTATTATCTTGGACTTTCTTACTTTACTTTCGCAGATTTCATCAAACTTTACTATTGTAGATTATTTTCGTTCGTCACGATGCAATGCAGATAAAAGAATCCGAGGTTAAGCGAGATTAATAGATCTCAGTTTAGAGTTATTCTTTATTATCAAACAAAGGATTTCGATTTAGCCACTTTAATATTAATCAGATACTTGACAAAAATCAATTTCTTATCTATTTTAAATTGGAGTTGATCCGAGTTTTCATTCCGAGAGGCTCGCGTAATCGGTACGTGTACGTGGATTTGAATGGCATTCATTATCATTGAATATTTAATTCCCCTTCCGTTCGGAATTGGGAGATTAATAAAACGAATAAAACAAAAAAAAAAAGATGATTAAAAGTGAAATGTAATCGTGTGAACTGAAATTATCATTCAGTAATTAATGATTGATTTTACTTTACATTTTTTACCATTTTATATTATAAGAAATAAATTGTAATGTATGAAGTGCAAAAATAAAATACAAAAAAAAGAACAATTTTAAAATACTTAAACAAGTGTCATTAATATTATCCATATCGTGCATTATCCAAAGATAATTACAATAATCTACCTGGAATCATTTTGAAACATGAAAAGCTACTTTATTAAAAATGCTTTTAAACTAATAAATGACGCACTATATGTTTCGAAATTTTAGTTACGATATTACTGCTAGTATGTATGATTAGTATAAATCATACCTAGATGAAGAGAATTGGTTGAAAAGGAATTTTACTGCAAAGTAAGTAGATATTTTACAAATGTAATTAATATAGCGGAATCATATGGAATTTCATTTGAAATTATGTATAAAATCTTCTTATTTCATATTGTGAAAGAATAATATCCTAATTTAACATTATTAATTAACTTCTCCAACTATTCTGCTAATAGTACATATGTTTCACTATTTAACATTCTTTTTATCTATTTTTTATTATTTTATATTCTTTCCATCACTTTATATTCTGGTGGAGAACTATTAACTGTCTACAGTAACCTAACAATCGTAGCATAGAATTTAAAATATAAAACAGAATGATAACGTCCGATAAGTGCGTGACACATTTCCTTGACTTTAACTGGTCCTCAGTATCTCAGACTTTACAAATTTCGCTGTAACCGCACTCTCGAGCAATTCATCGCATTATTATTTGTAGTCACACATTAACATAAAATGTCACCGATAATCTCCAATTAGGTCAAAGTCTAAATTAATCATCGCGTACGTATCAGTCGCGTTAATTTTTTTCAAATTTCGACTTGCACTTCTTCTCGCCACAGTGCATCTCACGGTTCGCGATCGGAAGTTATAGTCTCAGTGAAACACATCGAGCTGAGAAACATGGCATACAGTTAATTTCCATTTCGCCGCGCCAGTTAAAAGTTAATTGCAATCGCATGGCCGTGTCTGCCGGACGTGTGATTAGAGTCACGCCGTCAGGCTATTAATGTGTAATGTGTGCCTGCAATTAACGATAATTCGATTGAGGTCAATTGGACACGAGCGCTTGTTCTCGCACGAACAAAGCTGATTACGAACAGCAGAACAAATAGTTACACAGTGGACCGCGAGAATTG